CTACTACAACCACAACCACAACCACAACCACAACCACAACCACAACCACAACCACAACCACAACAACTACTACTGCTACTACTACTACTACTACTACTGCTACTACTACTACTACTACTGCTACTACCACAACTACTACCACTTACTGCTCTGCTACTGCTACTGCTGCTGTCGCTGCTATTGCTGCGACGACGATTACTTGTACTGTACTCCTGCGAATAAAAGCCTGTTGCCCTGCCGGAATAAAACCTGCCGAGCTTTCGTTCTCCATGCCGTTACGGTTTCTCGATCGTCTGCCGCGTTGTGGAATGTGTGTGTGTGTGTGCCATTTCGCTGAAGAGATGTCGAAGATTTTTGGACGATGATCATGAGGAGGCGTTACACACGGTCATTCAGCTTGGGCCCAATTCGGGTTAAGGGCAAGAACGAAAAACTAGTTAACACCTGTCAATCCGTATGTTAGTTGAATCCCAAACTTTTTTTAAAGTGCAACTTGTTCCTGTATTCATTGTTCTATTCAAGACTGTCAGTGCTGCTGCGCGAAAATCAGCATTCACAGCTCAAGCTTCGATCCGGTGCCTCAGATGTTATGCCTTGTCTGCCTCGTTAATAGCCAATGTATCCGTGGATCATTGACGCTAAGTTCAAGTACCGTGTGACGTGATTCTATTGCTAGCAAGTAGTGTGTGCCGTTGCAGGAGGGTGTGAGCCTGGTGGACTCTGACGGAGAGGACATGCCTGTAGCACCAGAAGCCAGATACATACTGCATCTATCTGCATGTTTGTTCGCGACCTTCCACTGAGAGGCACCGCCAGATGTTGACATCCATCGGAAGCCTGTCACCCACTGACTCTTGGAGTGCAAGCCCTTTGTGTGAGAGCTTCGCCGGACATCTACGTGTCCATTTGTGCGCTTGGAGCCGGAACTTGTGTTGCCAAAGCCAGCATCCGGCACTTCTGATTCTGGAAGCGGCGGTAAATGCCGTAGTCCCCAGCACACGAAGCATGTTGTAAGCATGTTTCCGTTGAACCAGAGAGGGCACTTGAGACGGTTCTCAGATGTTCCGTGTTCGGAGAAGGTGGGAGATTTCATGCAGGGGTCTCTGGAGACAGTAACAAGGTCAGCGATGAATCTCAAAAGCAGGTTCCTCCAAAAATACTGGCAATCAGATCCTGTGTCTGCCATCCAAGGCTGGGTCCAGGCGCTGCACCTTCTTGTCTGCGAAAATGAATCCACACCCGAGATACAGTGCATGTTGAAGACGTAGCTACCATACCATATGAGCAGAAAGCGAGCAGGGGTATTCAGAGTTGTACGCAAATTCGGATCCGCGAGCTCACCGATCGCTGCCACTGCTTCCCTGCAGTGTCTGGGTCTGCCGTTCCTGCCGGTTCTGCAGTACATCGCCTTCTTGAATCACGTTGCTTGGTCAGTTAAGTGGAGACATGGGTCAACCGCTCTAGGTCTTGTGATTTCCTGCCCAAGATCAGCTGAAGTTCATGCCCACGCGGGGTCCATCCCTTTCAGAAACAATTTGATCCTCAACAGCTGCTGCAAGAACTGTGTGCACACGAGAGCATGTTTCAACTTATCATGTCTGCATCTGTCTCAGCTTGACAGGTATGTCCCGAGGATGCAGGCAGGATCAAGGTAATACAACCGTAGCTGAGAAAGGCAGCAGCTAGGACACCGGGAGCTGGCTCACCAACAACAGTAGACGCCGGCCCGTGAGCAAGAAAGTGTCGTGAACACTGGCAGACAGCAATTGGAGACAAACTGGCTGAGCTGACACGAATGCCGAGTTTTGCATTCAGGAGAGTCATTCTGGCAAAGTGTGGCCGGCTGTGAGCGGTTAGCGGTTAGCATGGCGTTGGCCTTGCAATCTCTTTGTGCTGGAAAGTGAATCTCGTGGTCGCACAGGCACTCCTTTCCCATGTGGGACGTATCCATGTGCAGGAAGCATGCTTGTCCTGTTCTGTCTAGCTTCCTGACGCCAGATGCCTCAGCCGCGTGCTGCAGCTACTGAGGATGAGGTTGTGACGGACTGGCACGCGTGACTCTGGATGCTTTCGACCCAGCATTGTCGAGGCAGAGCCCGATTTCTGCAGGTCTGGGTTTTATTCGACGCCGAGGCGATGCAAGTTTGGGCTTGCGTAATCCTTGATTTGAAAGGCGGGTACCAGATGATGCAAGATGATGTATCGTCAGAGCCCGCCGGTAGTCGTGTACAGAGTCGGTTTTAAAGCTCTGGGCCTGGATTGTACAGCTTCCATCGGCTGCCTGGGCGGTCCCCTGGGGATCTTGCCGGCAGAGAGTTCCGCCGAAAGGCATTTGAAAAGACTGCTTCAGGGGCTCCTCTGCACTGGCGGTCTCTATGAGGGATCGGCCTTGCCCTGTGGGGCCCTGCATGTAGCCAGGACTCTGTGGAAAGGTAACGATGGTCATTCCCTTGCCTTTTCGGCAGAGGGTTTATTTTTCAGGCCCAAAAGGACATCATGATAGACACCGGTGATGGCTGGGTTTCAGTGAAGTACATCTCTTGATGATCTTCGTCGAAGCCCAGGCACCTGGTTCCGTTCGACAAAGCTCTAGCAGCTCTAGCAGCGAAGAAAAGCGGGCCCCCCTCTTTTCGGCCATGGCCAGTCTTGGGCCGGAGACGCCACAGTTTGCAGGGCTCGAGCTCTTCCACTGCTCCAGGCGCACCCCTCGCTCTTTAATCCCGGCGTTCGCGAGAAGGCCAGCTGCTCAGGAACGCTGAGGGAAGCTGTCAGATGTTCCGCGCAGCTACGAGTCGACGAGGCCTTGAAGCGTTCCCTCGCGCGAGCTTGAAACTGAGGACGCTTGGATCTGAGACTCGAGTGCTAGCTGGGCGGCGAAGCCGAGGCGCTTGGCGAGGCGCGAAACCAAGCGAGCCAGAGCCGTCTTACTGCGGCAGCACCACTTGCGGAGGCCGGCCATGGGCCACAGAGCATCGCAGATCTCGGGAGGTCTTTTTGGGGCATTCAGGGAGAAGTCCACCGGTTTTCGAGTGGCTTTCGGGTGGACCAAGACATCTGAACTGTCTCAGGTTGCCCAAGTGGCCGCTGGCTCAGCGCTGGTGTTCCTTCGGAGGCCAGTCGCTCTGGGCCTTGGAACATGTTTCGAATTCCATGACCAGAGTCTCTGAGATGCAGACTCTTGTTCGGGCAGAGTTTGGAGGAAAGGATGCAGTGATGCTTGCAGGCCCGACTCCCTCTTCCTAGACGTCCCCATGCTGGAGGATGTCTTTCTCCGTGCGCAGAGCTGATGTGCGCTTGGACCAGTATCTGCCGGCTGCAGGAGGCCCTTGAACCTGACATGGAACCGCCGGCAGCCAACCCAAGCGATGAGCAGGCGTGAAGCTGTATTCCCGCATTCACTCACCTCTGGGCGAGTAGTAAATATCAATTCGCCTGTATTATCACCCTATCACCCAGCCACGTGAAGAACAGGACCCCGGCCCATAAATTCGCAGAAGATCATAATGAGATTCAGCAGTGATGTGTTTTGATCGTCATGACCAGCAGGGCGACATCTTCGCCTCGCTACCGGTGGCAACTGCCTGAGCTACCGCGCATTCAGCATGTGAGAGAAAAAGCGCTCCTGCAGATCTTGCAGTGGAAACGCCATGAGGCGAAAGCTCAGCCACTGGAAGGTGGCACAGCTGGCAACGCTGTCAAGGCAGGGCCCTCGTCCGAAATCAGCTTCTCCTATGCCCGATCAAACCACAAAGCGGTGCAGCGAGATTTGTGGGGCATGTGGGGCTCTGCTTGCAATGACTCGCTCGGCCTTCGTTTCTGTAGGACGTCCTCCTCCGCTGTCTGCCGGCCTTCCGGCTGGGTGTCACTGCCGAGACCCTGAGCCACATCCTTCGGCTTTCGGAGGCCGAGCCGTGTTCTGTGCGGGCACCACTCGGTCACTGTCCACGAAGCCTTCAAGGTTGCAGGTTATTGCAGGTCAGGTGGGTGCTTCCGCGGTCGTTCTTAGGCTGGGGACATTTCGCGACAGCACAGCATCTCTTGTAGAAGTACGTGCAGTTCATGCAGCAGCTCAGTCGGTGAACCGAGAAAAACCAAGTCGTCTGGCAACTGAACTCTGGGTGATCAGAGCGGATGTCCCGGATGCCCACCTATGTACAGAACCCAAGACTCAACTCGCCAAAATCAGCTAAGCTCACATACCGAGTCTTTGCCCAAGGGCAATGCGCAAGTGCCGATTACAGATCCTCCTCGATCTCTTGCGTTTACAGGGGATCTATGATATTTTGGGCCTGTTGTGCCCCGAGTTTAGATCAGTGCACGGCTCTAGAGAAACGGGTATTTTATGATTTTTATGATTTCACAGAGGGCAAATGCTAATCTTTTGGGCGTTCACTGGGCTAGAACGCGAGGACTTCGCATTCAAAGTCAGACTTGCATAGGCGGCTTCATGCACATCTGCGGTGCAAGGGTCGACTTGAACAGGTTGCTTTGTCCATCCAGTGTTGCTTCCAAAATGAGGTTTACCAGAGATGTTGCCGAATGGTGTAGCACCACGACGGCTACCTTCATGGCCATGGTGTAGCACAACACGAGCCACATTGGTTCCGTCGCATGCCAGAGCTCCCTACTCCATTCGAGGCACCGGCGTTTTTCACGATGGGCCAGGGTCTCAGATGCCATGGCACGGCCTCGTGGCCCTCACCTTGAGGAAATAATCTGGTAAAGCGAACGCCGGACCGAGGCCACAAAGAAAAAGCCTTCGAGGTTCGGGCGTTGTCCGGAGCCGCAAACCCTAAATGGGTAGACCGAAAGACTGCGGTCGAAGTATGTCAAAGCAAGCCGGAAGCCGGAGGTTTCTGTTCAGTCCATTGCAGACACGATTGTTGCAGAATGGCCGCTGCCCCGGGAATCTGCATTGCGGCGGTTGTCACTTTTCCTGTGGCCAAGGCTCAAGCAGCCTGACAGCCCCTTGCTGCGCGCGTCGTGCATAGGCCGGGGCGCCCAGACTTGTGAAGCGGGAGGTGACCAGGCCGACAGCGGGCAGAGAGGGGGCATCTTCGGGGACGTTCGGGGACGAGTGCATGTCTTGCATACCCGGCCATGTCGAACCTCTCCCCTTCTTGCACCCGTTCAGCCTGTTATGCCTCATCAATGAAGTGAGACCAGGGCGGCTTTGTTCGACTTCCTTGCCCGTGAGGAGTTTCACCCAGCTTTCGTTGCTTTTGCTTGCTTTGAGGGTAGAGTGTCGCAGTTTGTCATCCAGTGGGAGCTGCTTCTTGTCGGGACCTTGCCCTAAACCCAGACGCACGGTACACTTCAGCGTTTTCAAATCCTGAGCTCGCGGCGGCTCGTTGTCTAAAACTGCCTGCGCGAGGCTTGGGATGCGCTATGGACATCGATCACGATGACAAGGGCATCGTCATCGCGATTGTAGTCTGAGCCACGACCCGGTTGCGAAAAGGGCGGAAACGGTCCAACGTGTCTGCCTTCTGTGGATCGTCTTCTTCCCTTAATCCACTTTCGTCGCTGCCCCTCATGTCATCTCTCCGGCAGCAGCCATCATTACTGTCGTGGCTTCTTGTCGTTTGTCTGCCTATGTGTTGAGTCTGACGTGTCTGGCCCAAACAAGTGCCTTCCAAACAATGGCTGCGCACTTTGCCACGGCCCCAGCTAAAGTGTGGCGAGGATCGTGCAAAGCGTGGTCCGGCGTTGAGGTCCTGCCTGTTGACCCAAGAGCCCGGACCTTGGCCGCCGGGTCCACAGCATGCCCTTCTGTCTGCGCTGGATTTGCACTACAACGACGTGCTGTCTTTAGATGTCTTTAGTGTACTGGCCCTCCGGATTGATGGCATGTTTCGTCGTGCCTTCGGCCTGCAGTCTGTGCAGGCGGCCATAGCACGGTGTAGGGCGTGATCTGTCTCTTCCTATCACATGTTGAGCATCTCACTACGCAGCCAGGCTCAGTTAGGTCTTGCTTTAGAAGTGGGGTCGGACAAGGGCGGGAAGGGGGGGGGGGCTCAACGGTGCCTGATATCAATATGACTTTGCGACTTAAAGGGAATCCTCCATGTTCCTCTAGCTAGCTGTTATTGGCCTCGGCCTGCCCTGGTCAGCGTGCAGAGGACCCGTGGCAATCAGGTTTATGTTCACGCAGGGCGCCAAGCGCCGCTTGCTTCGTGTGCAGCATTAAGGCGGTCCAGGTGTAGGTTCCGGGAATGCAGAGAGGCTCGCGGAAAGTTGGCTGTGCATCGGATCAGTCTGGCTCAGCTTGCCAGGGGAGCGTGTCGGAGAATTT